AGCAATTAAACATCCCCCAAAGAACACTTAAATGCTAGAGAAGCCACCAGAAGAAGAATCATATCAAATCTGTCATTAATGATATGCTTCCTTCTGTTTGCAGTTAAATCACATTCTTTTGTTTGTGAGATACAAGCAATTAGATTGCTGTGATGTCTCAAAATTAGACACAGTTGTATCATCATACAAACCCAATGCAAACCTGCAGAGTATTTTTAGTCAAAACATGATTTGGGGATTTCCCTGCTCTACAAATGTAGAATCTAACTAGAAGAAGAAATGAGATTTTGCCTCCTGACAGTTCTTCACTGTGCTGAATCTTGATACTCTGCTTTGAATTGTGCCTGGAGGCTAAAGCAGAGGTTTGCAGAATCTAATGGGAAGGTTGTTCATACAAAATGGTTGGTATTTGACAAAATCCATCAGCACACAATGGCGAGCCCTCCATGTGCTCCTCCAGGTTATTTGCCTTTTTACTGCATCAGGTCCACTGTCATGTCATGGCTCTGCTATTGATCAGTATTAAACAACGGTATGTGCTGGCTGGGCAGAAAGGCAATGTTGCTGCTATTCCCTCATTAAGATGTATAATTACTGACGGAGTGATAATACTGCACTTCAAGCAGTAAGGTGTTAGACAAATGCTTTGGGATGTCATTCTGATGGCAATTCTTATATAGATACGTCTCTTCTGGCTGTCACCCCTCTCCTTTTGTGTGCTGGGATGGAGTTAATGGGCACACATCCTCTCCAGGCTAACTAAGTGACAAAGTGTATGCTCAGCACTCTAGTGTCTGTGCTTGGCTAGCCTACTGTAAATATACGTATTCTTGTTTTGGTTCTGTTTAAATCTGTGATTTGAAAGTCTGGTCATCAAAGGACACTGAATTTGGTGTGCCTTGACCAAGAGGTTTTTAGTTGATGCTGGAGGCAGAACTGCTCTGGCTCGATGTGTTTTGTCTGATGTAGTAGGGCTTACCTGACTGTGTTTCCAGATAACCTTATGCTTCCTACAGCTTTTATCACAGCTTTAACCATCAGCAGAAACCATGCACCAGGACTGCTTATCGAGGGCCATTGTGCTCTTATCCACATCTTCAATAACACATGGCATTGATTTTTGCTGTGTTGAATACTATATAGTGTTTACATTCCACAGAATAATTCAGCAGGGTAAACAGATAGTATTCTTTGGAAGAAAAGTCAATATTAACTGCATTCAGGATAGTATTTGCTATCTAATGTTGATGGAAAGCAACCTTTCTCTTGCCTGTGTTTAGAAGGGGCTATAATTTCTGCAGAGGTGTATTTTCTCAGAACACTAGTCAGATACCGTGTCCCCTGGGGATGGTTTTGGGATCCAGGATATTGTCTATCAGCAATTTTTGCAGGCAGTAAATTCTGCTGCCACAAGTGCCTCTGGCTGTTTTCTGGCACTGTGGCCATTCACAGCTTCAGTTCAGAGGTGGAAGCCTTACATTATTTATCTAGTTGACCTTCTGGAGCAATTTGTAGGTGTATTTGTGCAGTGTATCTAGTGGAATTGCCTTTAATAGGGTAAACTGAGAATGCTAATGGAAATTCTGTGGTGAAGGTTGCAAATGGCTCCTGTGGTATGTTGCCTCCCATCAACTTTGCAGCAAGTAGAGATGGCAGGTCACTGTGAGCTTGAATAGCCTCTTGCAGCTGAACACCTCCAGGTTGCAGACATGGTAATGTGAACATGTACTGAAATCTGCCCATTGGCAGGGAGGGCGAAGCTGCACCCACAGCTTTACATGCAGGGGTTTTGTGCTGGTGGTGTTTTGTCCTGCACATGCTGTTTTGATGTAACTAGCTTAGGAAGTTGCTAGCTGGCAGTGCCCTTTGGAGAGTCAAGTAGAAAGGTCCTTTATGCATCTCTTGCTGGGTGGACTGGCCGTTATGCTGCTGAAGGATTGCTGCAGTCCCTGGGATGTTGAAGAGTTGGTCTTTTTCCCCTCTTGGAGAGGCTGAGATCTATCACATGTCCAGGGTGCTTCCCTCATCCTGAGACTATCCCTCTCTAATGATTTTTAGTCGTTTCTAGCACATTGTTAAACACAGGATGAAACAATTCCTGCTTAAATAGACCCTGACATTATCAAACATATGCACAGCTATGAATTTCTCCTGAAAAACTGGGAGGCCAGGAATAGATGGAGCCTCTGGGCAGAATATGAATGCCTTGATTTTCTAGCCCCTTGAGCAGCAGTGAAGAGGGCCACTAGGACCAGCCAGTGGAGACTGAGATATAATTGCTTGCCTAGAGCAGTAACATATTTCTGTACACCAGCTGAATACCAATGAGGACAGAAGGAAGGAAGGTATCAAACAGAATTGCAGGCAGGAGGAACAGGAGGATAAGTGATTAAAGGAAGGGACTCAAAGGTCAAGGCTGAAGACAATGGGCTAGTTCTGATTAGAGCATTTTACCAGGGAGTGATTTGTATTTTTAATGATTTTTTTTCAGGAGATGAATGAATTGCAGAACGGTTGGTGAGAAAGCGAGCAGGAGCAAGGGGCAAGCAGCGTGACCCCAGGTGCCACTGAAAAGACTGCTGCAAATGGGCAGGGAAAGGGAGTTGACACCAGGATAACCTAACTAGAAGCAAGCATGTCCTTCTGAGTTTGATGATGTTAATGCCACAAGATTTCTTTTTTGGGCCTTTTTCCTCCCAGTACTCCTCCTTTCCATAATTACACACAATAACCTTTAGGGCAATTTAGGTTGAAGTAGCATGAACCTTTGAAATCACCTTCCTATGTAATTGCCAACTTAGGATACAATTGTGATAGCCTCTTACGTAGTTTGAGATGATACTCAGGGCCAGACTGACCTCTCTGTGACCAGAGAACTCCAAAAGAGTGCCCAATAATGCCACTTCACTGTTCTTCAGCCCAGTGCCTGTGGGGCATGGCTCATGCCGGGGATGTGGCCAAAGGCATGGCAGTGGATGGTACTGTCTGCACTGCCTTCTGCATGTCTGCTCCATGAAGATGTTGAGTAAGACTCAGTTTATTTGAATTTGGAAGAAACCCCACTCCAAACAACATGACCTAACCTTAAAGCCTAAGCTTCCGATAGGAAACATGCAGCCTCATAGGGTAGTTAAATTACAGCCCTTAACCCATTAACAGCCTCTGAATTGTCATTTAGGATCTGGTAGAGGGAACTAAACATGGATACCTAATGAGCTAGAAATAATGTTGGAAAGAACAGGCTTAGTGTCTCTGAGTCACTGAATGTCAGCATCTGCCTTTTCCTGAAATAATGTAGTGGAGGCTTTGGAGGGGCTGATGGGGGAGAAGAAAATCTTGCAGGAGAGCCCTGATTGCTGAGCCTCTGTCCTGCTTTTTTTGTGGGCAGATGCACTGTAGAAATGGATGCGAGAGGTGGTTTCAAAGCAACAGCATTAAGGTAGCTGGGCATCAGAGCCCATATTCTGCAGGACTTGTGTGCCTGCTCCCGGTTGACGTCATGGCTCTGCAGCAGCAGTGGTGGGTGATGCGATGCTAGACCTGTCACTGGGTAAAGCTGAGCTGCGGGGGGATTTGAGGTACTGCTCAGAGGCTTCTGAAGCTGCACAAAAGCAGGGAAGCTACTCAGCCCTGAGAGCTGCAGCAGATCCTGTCTTTTTTTCCTCTGTGATGTGAAGCTTCAGTGCAGACAGGCTTTGCTGCATAAATGACTTTAATAGGTTTGCTTTAGGGGGTGTGTTTTGAAAGGAGAATGAGCATGTGTATTTGACCTATATCCTGCACATCATGTCCAGAAAGCCTGAAAAGCGTAATGGGAGGAATGTACTCTTTACACGATGCCTCTCATTTTCACCTCCATTAATTTTATTGGATTGCAGCTTTGCATTTATATTGTAATTGTTAGAAACAAAAAGGGAAGGAGAGGGCAAATTGCCTTGTTCCTTCTGTGATCAGCTTCGGGGATTGTGTCACTATAAAACCACATATATAGAAAACACTGCTGTCAATTAGTGTGGCATCAGGTTCAGACTGAAAACGTTACAGCTTTTTTTGTACTAGAAGTGTTATTGGCTTTGTTAGAAAGAATCAGTCAATGAGCGATTGCAGTGGCTGCACAGAAAGAAGACTTCTCATAGCAGCGAGATGCAAAGTGTCTCAGCCTTGCGAAGCATTATAATGTGGTTTAATTTTATGAACTTTGACCCATATTTGCTAATTAAAAGCAAATGGAATTACTAGTTCTGTTTGTTTTTACCCGGACAACTGATGTAGGGACATGTAG